CGCTAAAGGAAAAATAAAAACAAAAAACAACAACAAGACAGCTTGGAACTCTTATAATCTAGCTGTCTTTCTAGAAAGAAGCTAAGACTCAGTGCCTCTCCCAGATTCTTCTAGCATTACAAGTCTGAGGTGGAGCCAGAACCAGTCTCTCCACTCCCCTTGTTTCCCACTCCAGGGAGCTTTCCAAAGCAAGCTGTTGTTTCCTCTAGTCTTCCTTTATTATTCCTACAGGAGGTATAAACAGTGTTGAGCACATGTGAAAACCAAATGTTTGTTTCCATTCCCATAAAATGCCTTTTTTGTTGTTGTTTTGCAAACTGAGGAGGGCCAAGACCAATTTGTGTCTGGCAATGTTAGCATTTCCAGAGAAACCACCAAGACCCTGGGTGCCTTGCTGAGGACCTGACACCGAGGAGGTGGAATTCCATGCCATGGATCCAATCCTGCTGCACAGCTTGGTCTGGATGCCTCACCTTGGCCACTTACACAACCAGAGCAACTGTGGTACTCAGGACAGAAAGGATGGCTTCTTGCACAGAGGAATAAGTGTTATGTGCACTGACATCTCACACATCCAAAACAGGGATTAATCTAGTGAATCCATACCTCAGTAGCTATGTCTACTTCCCTCAAACTCAAACCACCATCAAAAAAAAAAAAAAATGTGTGAAAACAAAAGGATCACATAAGCAAATACCAAAACTGTAACAAACCCGCTGGGAAATAGACAAGTCATGGTTCCCTGATCAGGAATCAAACCTATTCATTAAGAAGCTCACAGGTAACAAGGAAATAAGGTGCCTTGTCAGATAGAACATTTCTCCTTCTTTAAAAAAAAAAAAAAAAACAAAAACAAAAAACAGATGCCTTATGTCTTTCTAACCTCCTGGATTACCTGGTTAATTTGTCATTATCTAGGTAAAGGTTCTTCTCTCCTGACAGTTATACAACACTGATCACAGCTCCTAAACTTGGAGGTGTGGCTCAAAATTCACCTCCTCAGGATAAACAGACATAACAGGCCATTCTCTAATCTTCCTACAAAAGGGTTGACTCATCTTCTCTAGGCCAGGACATTTTTACTACTTTGCAGTTAGCTGTTTCTTCGTGTGTGTTTGTCCACCAACCCTACTAGTCTTAATGCAAATGGAGGGAGGACCCAGACCTAGCTGGTTTGTTAATCTGTCTCTGTGATAGTCTCCGTTTATAAATTGTAGGGACACAGAGTCTTGCTCCTGAATATTACAATGTTGATGATTATTAATTAATTAATTAATTTCTGTTACAACTAGTGTGTACTGTCAACAACCACTTGGCTAGACCAGTAGACCAGACATATTTTTAAGCTCAAAATGAAATTGTACATTTAATGCTTTGTACTAAAAATCAGTGGTATCTTTGCCTCTTTTTAAATTAAATTGTCTTACTTATTATATAACTAAAATCCAAAAATAATTTAATATGATTATCCTAATAATCTGAACTTTTTTTCCAATCACACAATATTAGCATATATTCAGATGTACTTATAACAACAGAAACTATTCAGATAGGAGCATGAAAGAAGTTATTTGTCCTTTAAATAGATATTTTTAAATTCAACATAATTTAAATTTAATTTTCAAAAAATTAACCCAATGTTGAACTCAGCAAATTATTTTATTAAAAAAAAAGTTATCTTTACACTGATGTATTACTCTGGAAATGCTAACATTGCCAGGCACAAATTAGGTGCTTACAGTATATAAAAATGACCCTCACAATTAGTTAGGTCTTTAGTCTGGGCAAGAAGGTAATAGCACCAGTCTACTATGCTGCATATACACAAAGTTATATCAAGTCCCA